ACCTCAATGTCATATACACTGAGTGTACAAAACATTAAGAACACCTGCTCTTTCCATGACATAGACTGACCAGGTGAATCCAGGTGAAAGTTATGATCCCTTGTTGATGTCACTTGTTAAAGCCACTTCAATCAGTGTAGATGAAGGGGAGGAGACAGGTTAAAGAAGGATTTCTAAGCCTTGAGACATGGATTGTGTATGAGTGCCATTCATATTGTGAATGGGCAAGACAAAAGATTGAAGTGCCTTTGAACGGGGTATGGTAGTAGGTACCAGGCGCACCGGTTTGTGCCTGGTACCCACTCCTCAGTAAAAGGCACATGACATCCTGCTTGGAGTTTGCCAAAAGGCACCTAAAGGACTCAGACCATGAGAAACAAGATTCTCTGGTCTGATGAAACCAAGATTGAACTCTTTGGCCTGAATGCCAAGCGTCACGTCTAGAGGAAACCTGGCACCATCCCCACGGTGAAGCATGGTGGTGGCAGCATCATGCTGTGGGGATGTTTTTCAGCGGCAGGGACTGGAAGACTAGTCAGGATAGAGGGAAAAATGAACGGAGAAAAGTACAGAGAGATCCTTGATGAAAGCCTGCTTCGGACCGCTCAGGACCTCAGACTGGGGCGAAGGTTCACCTTCCAACAGGACAATGACCCTAAGCACAAAGCCAAGACAACGCAGGAGTGGCTTCGGGACAAGTCTCTGAATGTCCTTGAGTGGCCCAGCCAGAGCCCGGACTTGAACCCGATCGAACATCTCTGGAGAGACCTGAAAAAGCTGTGGAGCGGTGCTCCCTATCCAACTTGACAGAGCTTGAGAGGATCTGCAGAGAAGAACGGGAGAAACTCCCCAAATACAGGTGTTTCAAGCTTGTAGCGTCATACCCAAGAAGACTCAAGGCTATAATTGCTACCAAAGGTGCTTCAACAAAGTACGGAGTAAAGGGTCTGAATACTTATGTAAAATGTGATATTTCAATTTAGAATTTTTTATACATTTGCAAAAATGTATAAAAACATGTTTTTGCTTTGTCATTATGTGGGGTATTGTGTGTAGATTGGTGAGAAAAAAAACAATTTAATCAATTTTAGAATAAGGCTGTAACGTAACAAAATGGGGTCTGAATACTTTCCAAAGGCACTGTACTGTACATACACACTTGACCTCCCTTCCCCCACCTCTACTGGACTGTGTTCAGCTTGAGATGAAACCAGTGTTCAAACTTTTACACACACAGTTTACAACGTTATTGTACCAAAATATATCTGTACACCTGTTCGTCAAACATCTCATTCTAAAATCATGGGCATTAATATGGAGTTGGTCCCCCCTTTGCTGCTAACACAGCCTCCACTCTTCTGGGAAGGCTTTCCACTAGATGTTGGAACATTGCTGCAGGGATTCGCTTCCATTCAGCCACAAGAGCATTAGTGAGGTCGGGTACTGATGTTGGGCGATTAGGCCTGGCTCGCATTCGGCGTTCCAATTCATCCCAAAGGCGTTTCGATGGTGTTTAGGTCAGGGCTCTGTGCAGGCCAGTGAAGTTCTTCCACACCGATCTCGACAAACCATTTCTGTATGGACCTCGCTTTGTGCACAGGGGCATTGTCATGCTGAAACAGGAATGGGCCTTCCCCAAACTGTTGCCACAAAGTTGGAAGCCCAGAATCATCTAGAATGTCATTGTATGCTGTAGCATTAAGATTGATTTCCCCTCACTGGAACTACGGGGCCTAGCCTGAACCTTGAAAAACAGCCCCAGACCATTATTCCTCCTCCACCAAACTTTACAGTTGGCACTATGCATTCAGGCAGGTAGCGTTCTCCTGGCATCCGCCAAACCCAGATTCTTCTGTCGGACTGCCAGATGGTGAAGCGTGATTCATCACTCCAGAGACGCATTTCCACTGCTCCAGAGTCCAATGGCAGTGAGCTTTACACCACTCCAGCCGACGCTTAGCATTGCGCATGGTGATCTTAGGCTTGTGTGCGGCTGCTCGGCCATGGAAACCCATTTTACAAAGAAGCTCCCAACAAACAGTTATTGTGCTGACGTTGCTTCCAGAGGCAGTTTGGAACTCGTAGTTAGTGTTGCAACCAAAGACAGACGATTTTTATGTTTCCATTTCACAATAACAGCACTTACAGTTGACCGGAGCAGCTCTAGCAGGGCAGAAATGTGACGAACTGACTTGTTGGAAAGGTGGCATCCTTTGACGGTGCCACGTTGAAAGTCACTGAGCTCTTCAGTACAGGCCATTCTACTGCCAATGTTTGTCTACGGAGATCGCATGGCTGTGTGCTCGATTTTATACACCTGTCAGCAACAGATGTGGCTGAAATAGCCAAATCCACTAATTTGAAGGGGTGTCCACATACTTTTGGCCATGTAGTGTATATCAGAGCTGCTGTACTGATTTGAAAGCATCATTTATATACTCCAGTTGAGTTTTGTATGGATATGAAATGACTATATATATTATGTATTGACGTGTTTGAGCAGATTAAACTGATGTGGCTGATTTGACAGGTCACCTTTCTTGTGGTGTCGTCTCTCTCTCTCATGCGCACCCCGCACACACACACGCACACACACGCACACACACACACACGCACACACACACACACGCACACACACACGCACACACAGGAGAGGAGTGCATTTTTCAGTTTCCATGATCTTTAATAAAAGGCACATGTACAGCCATAATGAGATGAGTCAGCGAGTCTATTGGCATAGAGACGAAAAGCGTTAAAACACAGAAATACAAGACCTAGATAGGCCTGGAGGAGTCAGATCTATAGAAATACTCAACCTATATAGGTCAGGAGAGACAGAGCTATCACAGTAGATTCTACTTTTTAGTAACGTCGTCATCTCAGCATCATTCAAGTAAGTCTAACACTCTAAACACGTCACCATAGTAACGCACCAGACCCACCCCCCCCTCCCCGCACTCACACACACACACACAAGGTCCATCCAGGGTTCTCCCCATTTAGAACCGGAGTCGTGAGCTAGGTCTAGATTAGAACCGGAGCCGTGAGCTAGGTCTAGATTAGAACCGGAGCCGTGAGCTAGGTCTAGATTAGAACCGGAGCCGTGAGCTAGGTCTAGATTAGAACCGGAGCCGTGAGCTAGGTCTAGATTAGAACCGGAGTCGTGAGCTAGGTCTAGATTAGAACCGGAGCCGTGAGCTAGGTCTAGATTAGAACCGGAGCCGTGAGCTAGGTCTAGATTACAACCGGAGCCGTGAGCTAGGTCTAGATTAGAACCGGAGCCGTGAGCTAGGTCTAGATTAGAACCGGAGCCGTGAGCTAGGTCTAGATTAGAACCGGAGCCGAGAGCTAGGTCTAGATTACAACCGGAGCCGTGAGCTAGGTCTAGATTAGAACCGGAGCCGTGAGCTAGGTCTAGATACAATCAGATCAAGCGTTAACCGGCGATAGAAGACACCTGTATAGCGGGATGTTGCGGTGTCGGAGGTGGAACTGTGTTCCAGCCGTCAAATCGCTGAGCAGCTGCTCTTGCGATCATTGTCACTTAAGACACACCTGACCCACTCGTGGCAGAAGTTCAGAACGAGAAAGTGTAGGCTATATAGAAATATTTACGCTCAAATGGAAAAATCATTAAAACGAATAATGAGGATTTCTTTCATCCTAATTGATGTGTAGATTACATCTCCCATTCCAGTGTTGAACTTGTAAACAAGGCTGCATGGGATTTCTGTTAATGTGACTCCGTGCAGCCAATGGCAATGTCTGCTTTACTTGTGGATTTGACCGCCAAAAACAACCACTATGCAGATGTTGGTTAAAGTGGATCTGATTGAATCGAGCCCTTAGTCCTTTAAAAACAGTGTTGAGCCGGTGGACCGTTCAGGTTCTCTTCTCTCTTTCGGAGGTGAACCACCCTTATCTGAGACTTGAAGGCTTGGGGTACTTCCCCAAGATAATGCCTAGGCTTTAGCTTAGAGGACTAACATGGTCTTGTGGCACGCAGACAAACCGGATTCGAACACAGTCTGTCACACTAGCTGGGGTTCCCTTCAGGTCCGTTTCAGGGTTCTCCGGTTCTAGCAGGTCTCTAGTACAGCCCAACCAGAGAAGAGGGAGGAGTCCACACACACACACACACACTGACGTTTGTTTCTGAGCAGGCCTAAGACGTCTTTCGATTGTGTTTGTGTGCGTTTGTTGTTTGTGTGTGTGTGTGTGTGTGTGTGTGTGTGTGTGTGTGTGTGTGTGTGTGTGTGTGTGTGTGTATGTGGGGCCATGCAAGTGTCTGTTTATAGGGATGTGTTCACTAGGGCCCCAAATTAATCTGTCTCAAAACACAAACGCACACACGAGCACAGCCGTGCACACACACACACAAAAACACACGCAAGCGCACAACCACACTAATACCAAACTAAAAAGGCTAAGTTCACAGGAACTTAAATATTCAGGGTTAAAAAGAAATAAAAAGAGGTATAAGTTAGCTTATGAGGTTAAATATATAATTCACAACTAATTTTTGAAGAACTAAAAGGAGCATGCAAAACGCTGCCATCTTGGCTCTGCTCTGGGCTGCTCTCAGAACAAAATGGACGCCTGTCCTAAACAGACAGACTAGGAGCAGGTCAGAGCGCTAGTGAGTATACAGGTGACACACACCCACCCTTTACCATTCCATTCCTCTATAGGACAGACTAACTGAGTGGTCAACAGAGCTCAAAAGCTTGCATTCACATCTTTGGAACACACACGCACACACATTTACTCAAAGTATCATACTACACACAATGCACACGCACACAGACACAGACACACTCTGGTATGGATCATCCTGCTTTGGTGGGTATGAGCTACCTTTGGCTCTGGGCTCAAGGGTGAAAGGTCGGACAGACTCAACTCCACAGGTACAACCATCCTGTCTCCATAGCGACAACCCCCTCTCCCCTAACAACACCCCATCTCCATAGTAACGACCTCCTCCATACAGATGAATTCCCCTAGCAACACCACCCTATCTCCATAGCAACACTAACAGCAGCACCCCAAGCTGGGGTTCTCTAACTCTCTCAGTATGTGGTCTAGTGGTGTGTGAGTGTGAGAGTGTGTGAGTGCGTGTGAGTGCGTATGTGTATGAGAGTCTGAGTGTGTGTGTGTGTGTGTGTGTGTGTGTGTGAGTGTGCGTGTGTGTGTGAGTGTGTGTGAGAGATTGTGAGTGCGTGTGTGTGAGAGAGAGAGTGAGTGCGTGTGTGTGTGCGAGAGAGTGTGAGTGCGTGTGTGTGTGCGAGAGAGAGTGTGAGTGCATGTGTGTGAGAGTGTGAGTGTAAAGAGGTATCAGTGGTTTAGTGGTGTCTCACTTTAATCTCAAACATATCTCTCTCCCTCACTTCCGCTACACCTCTCTCTGTCCTCTCTCTCTCTTACCCCCCCCCCCTCAATCCCTCCCCTCTCTCCTCCTCTTCTGTCTATTTCTGGATCTGGAAGATGAAGAGTCGTAGGTTGATGTTCTTGGCCGCCAGTAGTTTGTTACACTCCACAGAGTCGGTGATGGGCAGCGGGACGTAGTCTGTCTCGTTGGTGTCATTGCTGAACGCATGATGGTGAATCACAGGCTTGATCCTCACGTCATCGTACGGACCTTTCAACAGCAGGAAGGAACACTCTATAGCTGAGTTCACCTAGAGGGAGGAGGAGGAGGGTTAGAGAGAGAGAGAGAGAGAAACAGAGAGAGAGACAGAGAGACAGAGACAGAGTGAGACAGAGACAGAGAGAGAGACACTCAGTCAGTGTGTGTACCTTGCTCTTGAGGATGAGTTGGAAGGAGAGGGTGCGTTTGCAGGAGAGGTTAGGGTTGCGTTCCGAGTCGTTGACTCTGGCCTTCAGTACCCAGGTCTGGTTCAACACGGTGAAACGAGGACTCTCATAGTACAGACGGGTTATGAAGTCATCTGTACGGTACGGCCTGAACTGGACCTCTGGACAGGGGAGAGAGAGGGGGAGGACAAAATTAGAAAGATTCATGTTTGTGTGTGTGACTGGTCCTTTCAGCCAGATTGAAATGATTGTCCTGGAAGTCAGGTACTGTGTGTGTATGACAGTGTCTACTGTGGATAGGGCTGTTGTGGTGACCGTATTACCGCCACACCGGCGGTCACGAGTCATGAAGGCAGTCAAATTCCACTTGACCACTTAGTCACAGGAAATTAGGCTTCTCCAAGCTCTGATGCTGCTGATGGTCATTAGTAGCCTACCAAACTTGCTAACTGCCTGGTACTCAGCACTCTATTGTCCCTCTAATCACTCTGACATCAATGCAAATGGCTATGCAATTGCGCGAGAAAACAGAGTGATGGCCTCTACTAAAAAGAGGAGGCTCCCATCAGCTTTCTATAGGCTAGGCCTACTATATTTATTTCTCAACTTTCCTAATATTAAGCACCTTGTTTATCTTTACAACAGGAGTATAGCCTACCTGGCTGGCATGAAAGGGGGTACCAAGACAATTGAGTAAAACATGCCAATTATCGTTTTGAAGGACTAACACAGTTGGAAAGCCTTCAACCAAAAGTTCAAGAAAAAGCAGAACATGTCCCCTCATGCTTCACCCAATACTCACCATTGGCAAAGGAATTGAAGGACATTATCAGGAAGCACTGGTACATTATTGATACTTACCCACAATTGAAACCCATTTAGCAGACGCTCTTATCCAGAGCGACTTACAGTTAGTGACTCTCGACCTTCGCCTCTCCCGTGTCCGTACGGGAGTTGCAGCGATGGGACAAGACTGTAACCACCAATTGGATACCACGAAAACGGGGGTAAAATAACCACCTTTTTTTTTTTTTTTTTTTTAACACTTGAGTGTTGCTTTAGCAGTATGCTTAGGGTCATTGTCCTGCTGGAAGGTGAACCTCCATCCCAGTCTCAAATCTCTGGAAGACTGAAACAGGTTTCCCTCAAGAATTTCCCTATATTTAGCGCCATCCATCATTCCTTCAATTCTGACCAGTTTCCCAGTCCCTGCCGATGAAAAACATCCCCACAGCATGATGCTGCTGCCACCACCATGCTTCACTATGGGGATGGTGTTCTCGCGGTGATGAGAGGTGTTGGGTTTGCGCCAGACATAGCGTTTCCCTTGATGGCCAAAAAGCTCAATTGTAGTCTCATCTGACCAGAGTACATTCTTCCATATGTTTGGGGAGTCTCCCACATGCCTTTTGGCGAACACCAAACGTGTTTGCTTATTTTTTTATTTCTGTCCTATGGACAGATACTCCAATCTCTGCTGTGGAGCTTTGCAGCTCCTTCAGGGTTATCTTTGGTCTCTTTGTTGCCTCTCTGATTAATGCCCTCCTTGCCTGGTCCGTGAGTTTTGGTGGGCGGCCTTCTCTTGGCAGGTTTGTTGTGGTGCCATATTCTTTCAATTTTTTAATAATGGATTTAATGGTGCTCCGTGGGATATTTTTTTATAACCCAACCCTGATCTGTACTTCTCCACAACTTTGTCCCTGACCTGTTTGGAGAGCTCCTTGGTCTTCATGGTGCTGCTTGCTTGGTGGTGCCCCTTGCTTAGTGGTGTTGCAGACTCTGGGGTCTTTCAGAACAGGTGTATATATACTGAGATTATGTGACAGATCATGTGACACTTAGATTGCACACAGGTGGACTTTATTTAACTAATTATGTGACTTCTGAAGGTAATTGGTGGCACCAGATCTTATTTAGGGGCTTCATAGCAAAGGGGGTGAATACATATGCATGCACCACTTTTCCGTTATTTATTTTTTAGAAATGTTTGAAACAAGTTATTTTTTTCATTTCACTTCACCAATTTGGACTATTTTGTGTATGTCCATTACATTAAATCCAAACAAAAATCAATTTAAAATTACAGGTTGTATTGCAATAAAATAGGAAAAACGCCAAGAGGGATGAATACTTTTGCAAGGCATTGCTTGCTCTTTGGGGTTTTATGCTGGGTTTCTGTAATAGCACTTTGTGACTGCTGAAGTAAAAAAGGGCTTTATAAATAAATGTAATTTGATTTGACAGTGTGGAAAGTCAGGTACTGTGTGTGTGAGTGTGTACCTAGCCTACCTGTGAAGCCTATCTTCTCATAACAGAGAAGGGAGAATATAGAGTTGTAAAGGGTTAGTTCTCTGCTGTGGCTCTGGTCCATCTCCCCCAGGATGCCCATCAGCTCTGTGCCAGTCTTGGTGGGGTGGCAGCACTCCTCCTCGTGGGCTGGCAGCTCGTGGAACGGTCCCTTCCATGGGCAGCCAATCCGCTTATACTTACACTGCGTCACCCTGGCAACACATCAGGAAGTGGGAGTTTAGGGCCAATCATGAGGACAAGGAGGAAAAGGTACTGCACTGCTTATACCCATCACCATACAGATCTGCAAACATGGAGGTGTTAGGGCCAAGGGGAGGGGTAAGAAGTGATTTGGGACCGGCTGTATAATTTCTGCTGGGGTTCTGTCATTAACAACTGCAACAGGGTCGTCTGATCGCGTGTGTGTGTTATTGCTGAGCGATTAACCAAAATGTAGGTTATTTTTCGGTTTTTAAACAACTAATTGATCGATGTAGGTTGAATTATTTGAATTCCATTTCGTTCATTTTTTTCTGTGAGCTCAATGCACAGTTTCTCTAGAGATAAATCAGATCCAGCCTGAACTGTGCGATGTAGTCGGGAGTTGTAGTTTCCAACAGGCCAATATTCAACATAGTTTAGCGAAGAAAACGTGGTAATTAACTACAATGACCATAATCCATTGCGCACCTATTTGTCAGGTCTGTGTGTTTCTTTTACGCCTGCTACGGAATAGACAGAAGAATGCGTGATCGTGAGGGGATATAGAGAGCAGCTGTTGCTTCACGAGGTATCTCTAACTGAACATACATGATCTAAGTGATTGATAGTTGGTATTCAGCAGTCATAAAAGTATGCCTTGTTTACTTTGAAGAACTACTAAGATAGTGATTTTGACTTTTACTAATTGTTTTATTCTGTGTTGTTACAGCATTCAACCCACATAATGCATAGTGCATTTAATGTTTGTTTTTTAAATAATCAAACCGAAACGACCTCAAAAAACACTAATCGCTCAGCACTAGTGTGTGTGTGTGTGTGTGTGTGTGTACCAATGAGGTGTGTACCTGTCTTGGCACTCCTCCTTCTGGTGCCTCTCTAGGCTGGAGCGAGGGAACTGTTTGAGACAGAAGGGACAGTCTGTGGGCAGCTCACTCACAGCTTTCTCTACAGCCAGGTTCCTACAACACAGAGACTTGGTGATCTCACACCTAGGGGGGGGAGGGGAGAGAGAAAGAGAAAGAGAAAGAGAAAGAGAAAGAGAAGAGAGAGAGAGAGAGAGAACACTCCATCAATCAATCCAATTATATCCTGAACAAAAATAAACACACCATTCAACAATTTCAAAGATTTTACATTATTCAATTACTCACTCAGTCAATTCAATTCAAGTGTATTTGTAAACTGTGTGTGTGTGCGCGTGTACAGACCTGCAGTTAGGACAAGTGGCCTGTTCCTCTTTCAGACGAGAGTCAGCCAGCAGGTGGATGAAACAGCCAGCACACATCAGGTGACCGTTGGTGCACTGTTGAACAGAGCGGGAAGGGTTATTGTAGGTGTGTGTGTGTTTGGTATATCCATACTGTGGATGTTAGTCTTTATAAATCAGTGTTTATACTCTATATACAGTACCAGTCAAAAGTTTGGACACACCTACTCATTCAAGGGTTTTTCTTTATTTTTACTATTTTTCTACATTGTAGAATAATAGTGAAGACATCAAAACTACATATGGAATCATGTAACCAAAAGTGTTAAACAAATAAAAATATATTTCATATTTGAGATTCTTCAAATAGCCACCCTTTGCCTTGATGACAGCTTTGCACACTCTTGGCATTCTCTCAACCAGCTTCATGAGGAATACTTTTCCAACAGTCTTCAAGGAGTTCCCACATATGCTGAGCACTTGTTGGCTGCTTTTCCTTCACGCCAACTCATCCCAAACCATCTCAATTGGGTTGAGGTCGGGCGATTGTGGAGGCCAGGTCATTTGATGCAGCACTCCATCACTCTCCTTCTTGGTAAAATAGCCCTTACACAGCCTGGAGGTGTGTTGGGTCATTGTCCTGTTGAAAAACAAATGATAGTCCCACTAAGCGCAAACCAGATGGGATGGCGTATCGCTGCAGAATGTTGTGGTAGCCATGCTGGTTAAGAGTGCCTTGAATTCCAAATAAATCACAGACAGTGTCACCAGCAAAGCACCCCCACAGCATCACACCTCCTCCTCCATGCTTCACGGTGGGAACCACACATGCAGAGATAATCCGTTCTCCTACTCTGTGTCTCATAAAGACACGGCGGTTGGAACCAAAAACCTCAAATTTGGACTCATCAGACCAAAGGACAGATTTCCACCGGTCTCATGTCCATTGCTCGTGTTTCTTGGCCCCAGCAAGTCTCTTCTTCTTATTGGTGTTCTTTAGTAGTGGTTTCTTTGCAGCAACTCTGGGTCTTCCTTTCCTGTGGCGGTCCTCATGAGAGCCAGTTTCATCATAGCGCTTGATGGTTTTTGCAACTGCACTTGAAGAAACTTTCAAAGTTCTTGAAATTTTTCAGATTGACTGACCTTCATGTCTTAAAGTAATGATGGACTGTCATTTCTCTTTGCTTATTTGAGCTGTTATTGCCAAATAGGGCCATCTTCTGTATACCAACCCTACCATGTCACAACACAACTGATTGGCTCAAACGCATTAAGGAGGAAAGAAATTCCACAAATTAATTTTTAACAAGGCATTCCAGGTGACTACCTCATGAAGCTGGTTGAGAGAATGCCAAGAGTGTGCAAAGCTATCATCAAGGCAAAGGGTGGCTACTTTGAAGAATATCAAATATATTTTGATTTGTTTAACACTTTTTTGGTTACTACATGATTCCATATGTGTTATTTCGTAGTTTTGATGTCTTCACTATCATTCTACAATGTAGAAAATAGTAAAAATAAAGAAAAACCCTTGAATGAGTAGGTGTGTCCAAACTTTTGACTGGTACTGTACATTGGATGCAAATTTGCTTTGGGGTGGGGAGAGTATCCAGTGGTTATTTGAGGGCATACTAATCAGTATCACAACACAGCAAACTGGGTGAGAGCTGAGAGTAGTTCATTCTGTGTTAGGTGACATGTTGGGGCTTGCCTATTTCCTAGGGGTCGGCCTGGGATAATCAATATGCAGAACTGACACATCTGCATGTGTTCATGTCTTGTTGGCAAATCTGAATAGAAAAGGCTCGGGTGCCATTTTGGACACCTACATCCTGAGGATTTATAGATCATATGATCTCTCTGCGCAGCGCTGAGTACTGGCTACCCATATGATTTATAGATCATCATTTCTCTGCGCAGCGCTGAGCACTGGCAAACCCTCCTGAACAAGTTAACTACTGACCTAGCAGCTAGCTTGCGTCCCTGGGCCCAACATCCTCTCTTCACCCATCTAGCTAACGTTACAGCCCACGACAGGTGCTGATCAGTAGGCCTACAGATTGTCCTCAACCCCTACTTCATGCCTGACATTCCTAGCCTATGAAGCTAAATTGACATGTTAGTTAGGCCTATTTAATACGAAGTTGGCTAGCTAGCTGGCTAATATTGACAAGTGGGCCAGAGTCGGTAGGCCAGGACAGGTGTGTTTGACAGTATTTACCTGATAAACGGAGGCCTTGGGCAGGTCTAGACACACGGTGCAGCACAGCACTGAATACAGCCTCTCTTCCAGCTTTCCCGACTCTCCCTCCGGCAGTCTCAGCCGCTTCTTGGGCGGCGGCTCGTCCGGGTCCGACTCGGGCCCGAGCCCCTCTCCTCTTCGGAAGCCCACCTCCTCCTGCATTGATGGCCCCCCGACCACTGTCTCCAGGGCTGCCCCCACCGCCCCAACCCCCAGGCCGCCTGAGGAGCCTGGAGCCGCCGCGACGCCCACCTCACCACGCTCTTCCATCGAGGACATGGTGGGTGGTGGTGATGGTGTTTGTCAGGCGTAATCTAGCTACCTGTCGCCAGAATGTTAACTAGCTGGCAGATTTAGCTACACAGGCTAGGCAAGGGAAAGCCAGGACAGCTAACTAGCTAACGGTCAGCTGGCTAGCAAGCAGTCAAAGCTAGTTAGCGAGTTCGCCTGTTTGTAAGCAATGTTGCGCAATACGCTTGGAATTTAACAAACGAACGTTCTAGAAATTTCCAAAATAGTTATTTAACGGTCGTTTTTGTAGAAATGTAGCGCTGTTGACTGGCAGTTTAGCGAATAAATTCAGCTAGCTACATGCTATAGCTAACAAGCTCAAAAAACACTCCAGTCCTCGCCCTTGTCTAGCTAGAACAAAACAACCCGTCACAGATGTTTTTGTGTTGTCAACTCGCAGTTATTCGCGGTGACAGCGCATGAGCGGCCGTTCATAACGGCCCGGTTCGGCAGGTCAGTAAACGTTTTTTCCCCGGTGCCAGCTCGCTATCCACCGGACCCCTGGGACGTGTCAGTTTTGGAAAAATCAGAGAGCTGTTCAGACAGTTCGATGGGACTTGCCTAGTTTAACTACACAGACGTCTTTGTTTTTCTCCTGTCCGGACCTTCCCCTCCTCCTCTCCCCGACTTCACTACACCTTAGCTCGGATGCACCTTCCAATCCTAACCGGGGTTACTCAGCCATGGTCACAAAAACAGAAAATTCCCGAGTTTAGTTGCTTGATAAACTGTCAATATTTTGCCAGCTGGTGTTATGGCCTCCCTTGCCAGTCCTTGCGCTGCGTCGCAGATTGGCTATCACTGGAATGTTTTGTTGTAGCAGATGACTTGGGGTATTTAAATAGTTGTGGGTGCGCATGCGCAGTTGTTGTCTGCAGGGTGCGTGTGGGGGACCTGGTAGGATTTAGGACTTGAAAGGTGACCAAAACCCGATATGCGACAAAATGGAGCACGTCACCTCACCTGAAGGGCATCACCTGCCTAGACACAGCCAGACATAACCTGACACATCATGCTACCTGAAACCCTGGTTGCCCCTGCCCCTGCACAATAGCCTACAAACCGTAGCAACAATAGGCCTATCTATCCTTCATTTGTCAAATTATGTAATAGACTAATACATTGGGTGATAGCAGCAGAAACCAGGTATTGTGATCTTGTTGATAATTATCATTACACTGTTATTACACTTTTTGGTCACTCAAAATAAATTACTCTCAAAGGAAAACTTTGCCACAACTGTTTACCTTGTGTCTGATACACAAGGGTCCCCTGTAGCTCAGTTGGTAGAGCATGGCGCTTGCAACGCCAGGATTGTGGATTCGATTCCCACGGGGGGCCATTATGAAAAATGTATGCACTCACTAACTGTAAGTCGCTCTGGATAAGAGCGTCTGCTAAATGACCTAAATGTAAATACACCCATATTAACCAGTGAGCCAGAGAAGACAGTAAAAAGGTGGTGTTAGAGTTAGGAAATGAGGAGGCCTTGTCTGTCTGAAGTTTGTGTCAATGGTAGTTAAGACTGTTTTTAAAAAATATTTAGAGTGTGAGAATTCAGATATGGACGTGGACGGTGTGTGTGAAATCTATGAGTTCCTTTAGTTTCAATCATGGGACTTTTTACTGTGACCGTATTCATTCACAAGAGTCAAACCTTTTAGAGGTCTTCACGGGTCCAACCGAACCCAAATACCTGAGACCCGAACCGGGACCCGAGCGGGTCGGGTCCTGTTTGATTGTCATCAGGTCTCGGGTCTATGTAACTACAGCTGACAGACCCAAATGGACCCGACCACGGCTCTGCATAGTCTATAGCATATTTATTTTACACTAATAAGGCCTAGCCAACATATAAATACCTATTCGTTAACCAGAAGAGAAACTTGGCTGATAATAATTATTTTTTTGTCACTCTGATCCAATCGTCCGGGTCCCTCTTTTTTTTAAATGATCGGGTTAGTCCAGGTCTGATTGTCCTTGGGTCCATTCGGGTCCGGGTCCAACTTTTTGGGCCCGAAAGAGACCTCTAAAACCTTTAGTCCCTTCCCCCATCTCCCAGTTGAGCCAATCCGGTCGCTGTGTGTTGTACATGGGCGGTGACAGCTGTCAATAAACCGGCTGATAACAGCTCAGGATACCCTCAGGGCAGGGGCAGTGGAGCTAGTCCGAATCACAGGAGGCTACTAAGGGGAGGACGGCTCATAATAATGGCTGAATGGAGTAAATGGATTGGTATCAATCACATGGAAACCATGGAAACCATGGAAATCATGTATCTGATGAGTTTGATGCCATTCCATTTATTCAGTTCCAGCCATTACTATGAGCCCATCCTCCCCAATTAAGGTGCCACCAACCTCCTGTGGTCCGAATAGTGTGTTTGTGTGTGTTGTGTGTGTAGGTGGGGGCCTGTGACGGGTGTTGACTTGAGGTTGCAGGACTAGTTGTGTGTTTGGTGTGTGCGTGTGTGTGTGTGTTGGCATTGATTGGGTAGGTGGTGGGGGGGTTAAGTTTGCTAGACTAGTGTGTGTGTGTGTGTGTGTGTGTGTGTGTGTGTGTGTGTGTGTGCAGGGGCAGGATGTCATAGTGTCAGCTGTCTGATCAGGCAGGGTGGTGTCGCAGCCTGTGATTGGCCAAAGGGACATGCCTTATATGGGCTAAATGACATGACCAGAGACCAAAATCTCCTACACACACACACACACACACACAGCTGTCACTACCTTAACGTATGTCACTGGGGCCAAGCTCCCTGCCATCCGGGACCTCTATACCAGGTGGTATAATTGTTAAAGACTCCAACCACCCAAGTCATAGACTTTTCTCTCGGCTACCGCACAGCAACCGATGAACCAAGTCTCGAATCAACAAGACACTGAACAGCTTCTACCCCCAAGCCATAAGACTGCTAAATAGTCAGTTAAATACTGTAGGTAACCAAATAGCTACCCGGACTATCTGCATTGACCCTTTTTGCACTAAGTTTTGATTCATCACATACACTGCTGCTACTGTTTATTATCTGTCACTTTATTCCTAGTTATGTACATATCTACTTTAATGACCTCGTACTGCACATCGACTCGGCCAAGTTATCGTTACTCATTGTGTATCTATTATGACTTTTATTATTACATTTTTTACTTTTCTATTATTTCTCTATTTTCTTTCTCTCTGCATTGTTGGGAAGGGCCTGTAAGTAAGCATTTCACTGTTAGTCTACACCTGTTGTTAACGAAGCATGTGACCATTTGGCTGACCGCGGACCGGATCCGGACCCAGAACGGGGTCAATATGCAGGTCCCGCCCACCCCCCTCGGTCTGGCTTCGACCGCTGGTATCATATAAACACACATAAGACATGGAAGAATGCATAGAATTGCAGACAATGAGCTTTAAAAACAGCCAAAAAAAATTCTCTGCCCCATTCAAAATGTGTAGAATTGCTGGAAATTAGCTTTAAAACTGCAACATTTACTCTCCACCAACAAGAGGGGTGTGAACAGTTTGGGGTCGCATGTGTTGCGAGGTGGGGGTTTGTTACTAGGTCGATAAATTACATTATCCATCCGGACATTATCCACCTAGGAAATGTGTGTGACCGGACCTTCTCAAATAGTAGTAGGCCTAGTGGTTGTAGTTTCCTCAGATACCACTACAGCTGCATGTTCCCTCCATATACACTAGGTGGTGCCACTACCTTTAAAATGCTATTATTCTGGACTTAAATTAAATGCATATCACATCTACACTGAACAAAAATATAAACGCAACATGCAACAATTTCAAACGATTTTACTGAGTTACAGTTCATATAAGGAAATCAGTCAATTAAAATAAATAAATTAGGCCCTAATCTATGGATTTCACATGACTGGGAATACAGATTTGCATCTATTGGTCACAGATACCTTTAAAAAAAGGTAAGAGCATAGATCAGAAAACCAGTCAGTATCTGGTGTGACCAGCATTTTCCTCATGCAGCCCTACAGATCTCCTTTGCGTAGAGTTGATCAGGCTGTTGATTGTGGCCTGTGGAATGTTGTCCCACTCCTCTTCAATGGCTGTGCAAAGTTGCTGGATATTAGTGGGAACTGGAACACGCTGTCGCACATGTCAATCCAGAGTATCCCAAACATGCTCAATGGGTGACATGTCTGGTGAGTATGCAGGCCATGGAAGAACTGGGACATTTTCAGCTTCCAGGAATTGTGTCCAGATTCTTGTGACATGGGGCTGTGCATTATCATGCTGAAACATGAGGTGATGCCGGTGGATGAATGGCACGACAATGGGCCTTAGGATCTCATCACAGTATCTCTGTGCATTCAATATGCCATTGATAAAATGCAATTGTGTTCGTTGTCCATAGATTATTCCTGCCCATACCATAACCCCACCGCCACCATAGGGCACTCTGTTCACAATGTTGACATCAGCAAACCACTCGCCCACACGACGCCATACACGCTGTCTGCCATCTGCCTGTTACTGTTGAAACCGGGATTCATCCGTGAAGAGCACACTTCTCCAGCGTGCCTGTGAACATCAAATTTCAGCATTTCCCCACTGAAGTCGGTTATGACGCCGAACTGCAGTCAGGTCAAGACCCTGGTAAGGACTAAGAGCACGCAGATGAGCTTCCCTGAGACGGTTTCTGACAGTTTGTGCAGAAATTCTTTGGTTGTGCAAACCCACAGTTTCATCAGTTGTCCAGGTGGCTGGTCTCAGACGATCCCGTAGGTGAAGAAGCAGGATGTGGAGGTCCTGGGCTGGCGTGGTTACATGTGGTCTGCGGTTGTGAGGCCGGTTGGACGTACTGCCATATTCTCTAAAACAACATTGGAGGCGGCTTATGGTAAAGAAATGAACATTCAATTCTCTGGCAACAGCTCAAGTGGACATTCCTGCAGTAAGCATGCCAATTGCATGCTCCCTCAAAACTTGAGACATCTGTGGCATTGTGTTGTGTGATAAAACTGCACATTTTAGAGTGCCCTTTTATTGTCCCCAGCACAAGGTGCACCTGTGTAATGATCATGCTGTTTAATCAGCTTCTTGATATGCCACACCTATCAGGTGGATGGATTATCTTGGCAAAGGAGAAATGGTCCTCTAACAGGGATGCTAACAAATTTGTGCACAACATTTGAGAGAAATAAGCTTTTTGTGAATATTTCTTGGGTCTTTTATTTCAGCTCATGAAACATGGGACCAACACTTTACATGTTGCGTTTATATTTATGTTCAGTTCCTGTAGTGCTCTTGTTTTTTTATACAGCTGCCACTGCTCTTTGAACTCATACGCATATGTATATGTATGTTCCCTCACTGTACATATGTATATGTATGTTCCCTCACTGTATATGTAATTCACAATGTCATATTTGTTCTTTTTTATTTTCTTTGTATACGTCTGCTCAGTCACGTTTTTGTCTCTGTATACGTGCAGATGTAGTATCTTAATTTGATCACTCTTTTGCTGCTGACAATTTTCCAGTACCGCAGGAAATGCAGATAAGCTTTGTGATTTACATAATCACAAAGCTCATCTGAAAAACCTTCAGCATAAAAACTTAAGGAAAGGCATCTGGCGGAAGTAAATTCATCCACAAACACAAATATAATTGTTTATGTATCTTATATGACCGTGTTTTCATGAATTTGATGATATAATCGTCAAGCCCATTCAAAAGACAAGGGACATGAACACTGAAGTATGAGGTAGGAATGCGTAACTTGCACAGGGTACAGTGCCTTGCAAAAGTATTCATCCCGTTGGCGTTTTTCCTATTTTG